CTGGTCAACTCTCCTGTCTTTATTCAATTTGCCTGCAATGACTTTCTGAATCCAGCAGATATCACTTTCCCTTATTTCTTTATTATAACTCAATTTTGTCCCAAATATTGAAAGATGAAGAAATTCTTTTTGATATTTTTGCAATATTTAGCTAGCAGTTATGTGAAATGTACTTATATTTAATTGTAGCTCTAATTTTTTATATGTACAATGTTTTAGGCTTTATTAGTTACATTTATAGTGATTTTCTAAACTTCTCTTAAGAGTAATACTACTGTCTTAGTCCTGTCACGTTAACAAAGAAATTAGGATAATTGCAAAACTGTTCAGTGTTTACAATATAAGGCTTCAGTAGTTAATCCATACAAAGGCTGTTTTGCCTTAATTTTTTAATTTTTTTGAAAAGTCTAAATGTTATATTGCACTAATAAAAGATATATTTTTGCAGGCTTCAAGAGGATCAGCGTGTGCAGATCACTTTATAATGATTTGAAAAAGGTAGATTAATATGTTAGTAAAATTAAGCACATAAGAGTGATATAACAAACTGATGAACAAAAACAAAATGTTGTCCTGTTATTGTCATTGTACTTAAGGTTGCCATGGCTACAGAAATTGGAGGAGCATCCTTAGATGACACAATACAACCAGCTGTGCGATTCCTCATGTCCCATGAACTGGAAGTCCAGTTCAACCTTTTTGGCCAACATTGGAAACAAGCTCTTGGACCTGCGTCTCTTTGATGTTTTGTATGGTAAATATCAGTTTTTATTGTCAGAGTAACTTTTTTTTTCACTTTTCTTTCTTAAACATATGTTAATTTATTTTGGTTGTTTGTTATTTTTAGTAATGTTTTTAGGTTAAAAATTGAGTCTTCAATTTTTGGTTTATTTGAACAGTATTCTTTCACTGTTGTTAAGAACTTAAAAATTTGAAGGTAATATTGTTTGCATTTCAAACAATATTAAAATAACCACAAAACCACGATAGAACCTAGTAGTTGATTTATATAGATGGATATATTTTAAATTTACAGTAAGAATATAGTTTCTGTACATAATAATGATGACTCAAGAGTCCTTTTGATTATGGCATATCTCTGCAAGCATTTTTGCCCCATGAAGGGGGAGATGCAAATCTCATGAATGTTACATTGTGCTAAAATGAAACACTAATACAATTTCTACCTTTGCTTGTTATTTCAGGGGACTTAAAAGAAATTATCCATCTACAGAATCACACAAGCATACAGCAAAGACTCTCGAAGTGGTTTACTGGAGCCCGAGTGGAAGTGGAAATAGACTAGAGAGACTGCCAGTTCAAACTCAGGTTGGGGAGGTCTTTCAAGATGGACAGTTTCAGTAAAGTATAAGAGATTTCAAATTTAAGCATGCATATGGCATGTAGGTTATTTTTAAAAATGTTTAACAAGAATGTATTGTGAAAGATCTACATAGGTGTGTATATTCACATTGTGTGTATCAATGTGAATATACGTGTATAAAGTTATATAGATAGTATTTAGATGTATACATTTATAGACCTGTAGGAAAATATGTAGGTGTCTTTATTTGTGTGCATCTATAGATATATATTTATAGATCTGTTTATAAGTTTGTTATAGTAAACTAGCTTCTGTTATTTTCAAAGTCGTGAATAATTGCAGATTTCTTTTTGTGGCACCATTCCCTGAGTATTAATGAAGTTCTAATAATTGCTGTAGTGAGGTAAAAAATAACTCCTGACAATATTTTAAATTACTAAATAAAAGCCTTGAGCAAAATAAATTTTTCATCTCTTTTTTTTTTTTTTATTTGAACACGTTTTAAGCTAGACTTTGGATTGTTGATCAAGATTGCATATCTATGAATGTAATTCACATCCAGGTTAGATGAGAATTGTTCCTACAGGATTAAGGCATCTGGGTCCCGCTGAAAGCCCAGTTAGCACCCATTGAAATCAACCTGGGCAAACCCATGTGGGGCCACCATGGAAACCGTGGACAAACCCACTTGGTACCATATTCTAGCCCAGTTCAGACCCAATTGGGACCCAGGTAAATATTCCTGACAGCACCCTAGTGGGCCACAGATGAGCCTCATGTAAGTTAACCATGTGGGACCCACTGAAAACCCAGTCAGCACCCATTGAAATCAACCTGGGCAAACCCATGTGGGGCCACCATGGAAACCGTGGACAAACCCACTTGGTACCCATATTCTAGCCCAGTTCAGACCCAATTGGGACCCAGGTAAATATTCCTGACAGCACCCTAGTGGGCCACAGATGAGCCTCATGTAAGTTAACCACATGGGCCCCACTGAAAACCCAGTCAGCACCCATAAAAATTTACTTGGGCAAACCCATGTGGGCCACCATGGAAACCGTGGACAAACCCACTTGTTACCCATATTCTAGCCCAGTTCAGACCCAATTGGGACCCAGGTAAATATTCTTGACAGCACCCTAGTGGGCCACAGATGGGCCTCATGTAAGTTAACCATGTGGGACCCACTGAAAACCCAGTTAGCACCCATTAAAATCTACTTGGGCAAACCCATGTGGGGCCACCATGGAAACCGTGGACAAACCCACTTGGTACCCATATTCTAGCCCAGTTCAGACCCAATTGGGACCCAGGTAAATATTCCTGACAGCACCCTAGTGGGCCACAGATGAGCCTCATGTAAGTTAACCACATGGGCCCCACTGAAAACCCAGTCAGCACCCATAAAAATTTACTTGGGCAAACCCATGGGGCCACCATGGACAAACCCACTTGTTACCCATATTCTAGCCCAGTTCAGACCCATTTGGGACCCAGGTAAATATTCTTGACAGCACCCTAGTGGGCCACAGATGGGCCTCATGTAAGTTAACCATGTGGGACCCACTGAAAACCCAGTTAGCACCCATTAAAATCTACTTGGGCAAACCCATGTGGGGCCACCATGGAAACCGTGGACAAACCCACTTGGTACCCATATTCTAGCCCAGTTCAGACCCAATTGGGACCCAGGTAAATATTCCGTACAGCACCCTAGTGGGCCACAGATGGGCCTCATGTAAGTTAACCATGTGGGACCCACTGAAAACCCAGTTAGCATTAAAATCTACTTGGGCAAACCCATGTGGGGCCACCATGGAAACCGTGGACAAACCCACTTGGTACCCATATTCTAGCCCAGTTCAGACCCAATTGGGACCCAGGTAAATATTCCGTACAGCACCCTAGTGGGCCACAGATGGGCCTCATGTGAGTTAACCACATGGGCCCCACTGAAAACCCAGTTAGCACCCATAAAAATTTACTTGGGCAAACCCATGTGTGGCCACCATGGAAACCGTGGACAAACCCACTTGTTACCCATATTCTAGCCCAGTTCAGACCCAATTGGGACCCAGGTAAATATTCCTGACAGCACCCTAGTGGGCCACAGATGGGCCTCATGTAAGTTAACCATGTGGGGCCCACTGAAAACCCAGTTAGCACCCATTGAAATCTACTTGGGCAAACCCATGTGGGGCCACCATGGAAACCGTGGACAAACCCTTTTGGGACCCATATTGCCTGCCCACTTATATCCCATATGGGGCCCACCTAGGTGTGCTGGCTGGGATTATTTATAAATATGGAGTTCATACATAGTGCTGTATATGGGAAGGTAATAAACACAATTCTCATTAAGTCCACATTTCTGTATTATTAATGTTTTTTATTTGTCTGATGGAATATTCTTATCAGAGTTGGGGTCCATCGTATGAAGTTAGCAAACAGGAGGCTAGAATGTCCACACACATATGAGCAAAAACATTTCAAAATTTAAGTTCAATTTAAATTCAAAAATAATTTATTGATCCCAAAAGAAAACTGAATGCAAATGTAATAATTATACACCATGCAGTGGTTTAGGAGGGGACTGTGTCCACTAAGAATATTTAAATTGGTCCAGAAAAATAATTGACAGATGGTTTGCTATAAATTACAAATTTGGTACAGTGACTAAAAGATCAAAATAAAGCATGTTTTAAATTGTGAAGCATCACAACAATGTTCTCAAAAATGGAAATAGAAAGTATTTCATTAAAAAGTTTGGGGATTTGTGACACAAAAGTCTAGCTTCTTTTAGCTACCGTGTGTTCTGGAGCAGAGAAAACTAATCCACCTTAAGCTGTGAAGTCTGGGGGACTCTAAAGATAGCAAAGAGAGAAGTGGCCAGTGGAATAATCATCTTCTGTCCTAAATCCTAACTGGCTCACTCTACTAATCCAGACAAGAAAAACAAACTGAGAAAAGTCAAATTACGCTCTCCACTTTTCTTTTGTTAAGCTTTATTCCTTATGTGTGAATAAGGAATAAAGCTTGTGTCTAATCTTTTAGAAAAAAACACATGGCTCACTCTACAACACCAACTCTCACTATATACTGAATACAAATGAATGCAAGAAAATATGAACCAGAATTGCATTCAACAAAAAAAAAATCTACATTTACTGTAATGAAAATGTAGTTTTACACATATCAGCCTGTTCTAATATTTTTTTTAAAATTACTTTACTGGACTTTATTTGAAACAACAGGAAAGTTGGTTGTGAGAGAGGTAAGACATGTGGCACTCAAGCATTAGTCCTGCAACATCGCAATCGCCAGTTCTAATGTTTTAATATGTGGAACGATATTAAAATACTGTTCCTTCCACACATTTGAATTCAGTTCAAATGTGGCAGAAATAAGCATTTCTTCTGAACCCAGGTGAGATAAAAATTTCTCCTAATCTTACAAATGAGCAAATTCCATACGTTTCTACTATTTCTCTTTCAATCTTCTTACACACATACACATGCACGCACACGCTCACACACACAAACATACACACGCACCAAGTTGTCTTCCAAAGCAGTAAGACCAGTTAAACAAGTAAAAATGCTTTCACAAAATCCAGCTAGTGGACACGCCTGTCTCTGTCTCTCCCTCTTCCTGTTTTTACTTTCCGTCACTGGTTTTTCAGACCTGCATCAAACGAAATACATAACCTCCAGTGTGACTCAAGAAAAAATAAGGCTTCATTAATGTGTGGATAAGAAGAACATTTCAACAGGTACTGATAACATTATGAACCACCCACACCCAGTTTACAGATTTATTGTAATGATAAAGGTGGGATAGTGCTATGACTTTTCATTATCTGAAACTAATTGTGTCAGTTAAACTAGATTTGTTGAACCAATGTCATTAGAGCTAACTCTTTTGAAGTCATGTCAGTTTTAATCTGTCTGATTTTAATGTTTGTAAAAAAAAAGATGTTTTCTGTTGCTATGTGTTCTTAAGTAAAATGGATTATATAATGAAGAAAAAGTAGGGCCAATGCATTAGCTCTTTTTGGTCTGTTGTTTTATACAAGATTAACGGTAATTAATATTTGAACTTAATGTTGAAACTGCCGGTTAAAATAAACTACTTTAACTGAAGAATAGTTTATAGAATTTACAAAAGTTCTTATATTTATTTCTGAATTTGTCAGTAGTTTCCGGGTAAAGAGTCCAGCACCGCTATGATTACCACTAATTAGTATCATGAAGTTATTTCTAGATTAGAGAAGCTATCAATACTGCCCTAATTTCAATTGAAATGTATTCCTTCAGTCCTTAAAAATAGTCCACAAACTGCTGTTAAATTGAGAACCTTGACAGACCAGTCAAGTCGCTTGCAAGCCAGCTACTCCTGCCCTAACCAGTGTGCCCCTCCCACATTCCAAATGTTTGCGATGCCCTGCTCTCACCATGTACACAGACAGCAGATACTTTGGATCCAAGGTGTCTTCAAGTGAGAAAGCAAGATGATCACTCACTTGTGATTGTCTTGCCCACTTGGACTCTGTGTCCCCCACCACTGCTGGAATATGTTCAAAGCACTCCTGGAGGTCGAAGTGAAAGCTTTGTCTCACAGGAGACTCTGCCAGATGTTCCCACAATACATTTGGGCCTGCCAGGTCTGACCAGCATCCTCCTCCACCATCAGCGCCAACTCACCACCAGGTAGAGGTCACTGGACAGATCCACACCTTTTTTTCAGCTGAGTGTCCAAGACAGGTGGTTGCAGATCAAATGAGACAACAACAAAGTCGAGCGTCATCAAACTGCAACCGAGGGCATCCTGGTGCCAAGAGCAAATTAAGACATCCTGATGCTTCAACATGTTGTTTGTTATGGACAATCCATGGTGATTACAGAAGTCCAACAGAGTTCAGATCAGCAAGGCCGTTCTTCCCAACCACACCCTTCTACGTCTCACTGTCATTGCCCAAGTGAGCTTTAATGCCCCCCTTGTCCTTGGCGAAGTCAGCTTTAATTTGTGCTCCCCATTTCCTGTTACAGTTAAATGTGTTCCACAGAGCCCTCGTGTTCAATTCCAGGCTATCATATTTAGATCCTATTGTGATAAGCATGGCAGTAACTATTCCACTACAGTTCTAGAATGGAAGAAGATTAGGGCTATTGATACAAAAAAACAAACCAAAAGGAAAAATGTCTTAAAACTCAAACCACCCAGGTCAAAGCAGGGGGACAATTTGTGTGTATAATCCAGTGTGGATAAAGTGCAGGTTTATAAATCCTATAAGAAGAAGGACTCAAGCTGGCCAAGCTGACCCAAGTGGCTGAGGAGACGGAGGTCAGGGCCTCCCTACTTAGGCTGCTGCCTGACTCCAGATTAGTTAGATGGATGGATGGATGGATGGATGGATGGATGGATGGATGGATGGATGGATGGATGGATGGATGGATGGATGGATGGATGGATGGATGGATGGATGGATGGATGGATGGATGGATGGATGGATGGATGGATGGATGGATGGATGATGGATGGATGGATGGATGGATGGATGGATGGATGGATGGATGGATGGATGGATGGATGGAAAAGAAACGGTTTTGAGATTTTTTTTCTTATACCACCAACATAATTGGCATACACCTGAACATGTTTGGTTATTCAAACCTGACTGAGACTGAATTATTTATTTGTTTGCTGAAGCAATACAAACAAAATATACGGGCTTACTAAGGAATTACTGAGCATTTTGGGGTGTTTTGCAGCATAAAACAGGAAAATGGATTTTTTCTTTCCATGTTTGTGTTCAATGGTTTTCAGAATGGGTTCCAATCACAGCAGTGAGAAACTCCACTGTAATCGTTACCTGAAAGGACAGGGTCCTCAATCACTGGAACAACAAGGTCAGTCACCTCATTAATCATTGGTTTATGTCATTGTTTCCAATATTGGCTTCTGATCACTTTCTGACAATTTGACATTATTTTTGTTCAGTAAATGATGGAATGAGTTGGAGGATCACATCATCAAATTTTTATCAACCTGAAGGCAAAATGAGTTTGGAGATTCTTCACAAAAACATGCCAGGTTTCCCTGATGCCAACACACTGAAGATCACTTTTATGTTTCCTAAAGGCATACAGACAGTAAGTGTCTAACATCAGCCCACATATTTTACTAATATCATAAAACATAAAATGTTGTAGTTGTCATTATGTCACTAAAACATAAATTTGCAGTAGTATCCTCTCTGATATTTATCTTTATTTATTGAAAGATAAATAATGAAGCCCATACATGTCTGTTGCTAAAGTCTCAGCTAATGCGTGCGAGGGTATCTGCAGGTCGGCAGAGGGGTTTTATGCTGTAGATAAAGTTGCGTCTGTTAAGAGACTCAGAATAACAGTGTCATCTGAAAATGTTATTATGTACTGATTGGGTTGAGAACCAACACATTCACACTGACACAGTCTTGGGGGGCCTGTGCTACTTAACTTTGAATGAGAGAGAATTGAATTGTATTTTACATGCTGAGATCTTTTTGATAAAAAAAAAATAAAAAAAAGAATAATACCACTTAGTTGAAAAAGGATTGACCTTCAACTGTAACGATTCCTGAGAAGAATGTTGACATGACTGGAATTAAAAGTTGAACTAAAATTGACAAAAAGAAGTCTTGCATATGCTGCAGATTTCTCCAGATGCTTTTAGGTGCATCAGTGTCAAAATAGCATCACTGGTACTACGTCTCCTAGCGTAAGCAAATTGAAAGGGATCCAGAAATGGCTGCACTTCCTCTTGTAGTAGCTCCAACATGAATTTCTCAAATTATTTAATTACAATAGAAGTGAGCGCTACCGGGAGATAATCGTTATCACTCTGAGGACAGGCAATCTTTGGAACTGGAATGACAATTGATTTCTTCCAAATATCTGGATTCAAATGAGTGTCTATTGAGATCTGAAAGAGTTTAAACCAAATTGGAGGAAGTTCCTCTGCAAAGTTCTTGAGAAGGAGAGCAGCCAGTTGCCCAATACTTATGACCATGTCATGTTTCAGTTTTTTTTTTGATAAATCTGCTAACAATCTCTACATTTTTGTTTTTGACTGTCAAGATGGGATGCAGAGTGTACATTCATGAGAAATAATATGAACTTTTTTATTTTAGCAAATGGCAGCAATGAAACAAAGAGTGAAAAATTTAAAGGGGTCTGAATTCTTTCTGTGCTCACTGTATATTAAGTCCAGGTTTGGTAACTGACTCCTATGATCCACTGGGCAGTTTTCATCACAGTGGCCATGTCTTTTTTGTCCTGGACTGTGCAGATGCCGTACAACACAGTCAGACTGAGGCAGAGAATGATGTCGATAATGGCTCTACATTAGTTCTTGAGCAGCTGAGCAGAGACTCCAAACCCCATGCCTTTTCAGTTTCTTGAGGAAGAAGAGTCTGTGTTGTGTCTTCCTCATTAGAAAAGCAGTAGTATCAGCAACCAGGTGTTCAGCAGTAGTATCAGCAACCAGGTGTTCAGAGGTGTTCAGCAACCAGGTCAGGAATTGTATATTGTCCACGCACTCCACCACCTCTCCCTGTGGTGTGTGCACTGTCTTCCTGGAACTCATGAAGTCCACTATGACCTGCTTGGTCTTGCTGGTGTTGAGCAGATTGTTCAGTGAAGACCACTGTGACAGGTGCTGTGTCTCCTCTCTATACAGGGTGTCATCACTCTTTATTATCAAACTGTAACAGCTGTAATTGTGTAGTGTCTCTTTAAGATACTGTAGTATTGCTGATGATGTCACAAGTATGCGACTCAGTTTCTCTGTAGAGAACGAGGGAAGGACATGCTACAGCAGCGAGACATGTTAGCTTCCTAACTCTTAGTGACGCTACTGGTTGTGAGAACCCTGCTCCTTTTCATGTTTGATAACATAGCAGCTGTTCAACCGGGCTTTGTAAGGTTGGTGAAGAGAGTTTATTAAAGGACAACACTGTGGAATTCCCAGTACCAGTGTGGTTGTGGGTGTTTAACCGTCCTGATGAGTCTGCCGTCTCCTCTTCACTCTTAAACACAACCCAAGCGTTACAAATGGCGCCCGAACATTTTATCTTGGACCTCGGCATGCAGTATCTTCTACCAGTTGATTGAAACGTTTGCAGTATAGGGGATATCTGCTATACTTCGCGGGAGCGGACCAGGCCAGCCCAGACGCGGACGACAGAACGTTTTCACGACAACGGGCGGGAAAAATCGACGTTGTTTGCAGTTCCCTGCTGGAATCCTTCTCGTGACAACTTTAGATCAGCTGCGCTGCTGGGACGTGAGGCGGATTATGTTTTCTAATTTCTGAATGTGCATGTGTGCACAGCGGAGTGAAGCGGAAATCCCTCATCAGCTGAACGCACGCCGCGAACTCTGCTTTTGCTGGATGACCTCTTAGGAACTTTCTGACTGGACTCAGCTCTGTACCGGATCAGAGCTGCTAGACATCAAATCCATCTGAGAAGATACGAACTGAAGCAGTGAGTGTTGGAAAGAAATAGACGGAAGTTATTCTTCGGACTCAGCAACATATTTTTTTAAACGGACAAAGCGAAGAAAAAAAAAAAAAAAAAAAAAAAAAAAAGTCTACCCAGTTAAATCTCTTAAGTCTATATATGTATGTGGCTAAATGTGTTTTAACTTTTCTGCGTCTGCTTTTCAAGTGAAACCAAAAAAGAAAAAGATACTGCTAAAATTACTAACTAACATTCTTAGTATTATTAATGTGTGACCGAAACTGAAGTTATTCCAACATCACCTGCGTTATACGGAAGGGGATTTACATAAGTGTACATTATGGCTAGTCATCCTGACTTGAGTGATTTATGTGATGATTTGGACTTTAGACTGCCCCCAAGACAAAATGAGGCCAGACACAATACCCCCGACCTAGAACATAAAGTGCAAAGTCTAAAAGCAGAGGTGGACATGCTTCAACAATGTCTATATGAATCTTTGGATCTCCAGAAAAATATCCTGGAGCGTTGGACCCAACAAACTAGAGCCACCCCTGGAGTCCCAACTGCTCAAGTTACTCAACCTTTTCCTCAGGCGTCATCTACACCTTATGGGCCTAGTCTGCATACCAGGAAAAAAGAGCGGCACAACTCGACACCTGTCCCCACTCAGTCCACAAGGGCTCCATCTCAGACCCATCCGGATTCGCTGGAGTTAATTAATACTACCAGAGTCCTCGCTGCTGCTTTGCACCAAGCGAAATTAGAACCCACTGTGTTCAGTGATGATGGTTGTCTTCACCCAGAGGAATGGCTGCAGTCTGTGAATGCTTACAAAACCTCTTTGGATTTATCAGACACACAGATTCTCAGAGAACTACCACATTTTCTAGCAAAGGAACCAAGGAAGTGGTTTAGTGTTCTCAGCTCTCATGTGTCTACTTGGACTGAATTTTGTGAACTTTTCAGAAATGTGTTTTTACCTGCCGATAACCAGGAGCGCATTATGAGAAACATCTTGGACTGTTTCCAACATCCTGAAGAACCATTCCCAACATTTGCAGCCCATATGCTCAGTGAGTTCAAACGACTGAAGAATCCTCCATCTGAGCAGGAGCAGATTGACCTTATCTGTAAACATGCAGTAGAGAAGTACAGAGTGGCACTGTATGGAACACCTATCAAATCAGTAATTGATTTGGTGCTGCGTGCCCATGAGCTACATTCTGTTCTCGGCACACCCTACCACAGCCATCAAGAGTACAGATGAAAAATAGAAATGCTGGAGAACCATACTGTTTTAAATGCTCCATGCCTGGTGTTACATCCCGCACATGCCCGAACTGTTCCACTGAGTATCATGGAGCTCGAAATTCAGCAAGACCTGCCAGAGGGCACCCCCAAACTCCGCCCACAGATTATCAATCTGCAGAGCCAGAGAGTGCCAACGTGGAGAGAGAAACAAAACCAGCAGGCAGGAAGCCGGGAAACTTCAGGGGGGGGGAGAGTTTTTCACAGGGCCAACCCTTCCCCCAGTCAGTAACTCTGCCCTCACTGCCTATATCAGTCCCAAATTCGCCACCTATGCTCAATCACGTTGAAGATGGAGCGTCACAATCATCTTGGAACACTCCTTTCAGAGTTAAGGTGAATTTTAAAGGAACAGCTCTGAAGGCCACACTCGACACAGGTGCGTCGCTTTCAGCAATAAATGCAGACTTGATACCCGAAAAGACAAAAAATGTCTCATTAAAAAATCAGTGGCATTCCCCACCCATAAGACTGGCCAACGGCACCGACTGCAGTCCCTTAGGAGTGATTTGGTTGACCATTGGATTTATGGACAAATCAATCTACCACCGATTTGTTATAGTACAGAACCTGTCATCGCCCCTAGTTCTGGGGATGGACTTTATGACTCGCACTGCACTAACAATTCATGTCCCAACCAGAACAGTAATTATGGATGACAATCCCCCATTTCTGGATGAACCCTGTGAAAATGACTTTGTGGAGGCTGATCTTGAATGTGGAACAATGACTCTGCCGAACACTCCAAAGCTCTCCGTTAAAGAAAAAGTTGAAGATGCTAACTTAAATTCTGTGGAAAAAGAAGAACTGTTAAGGTTACTGGATACCTATGGTGATCTGTTTGATGGTCACCTAGGTCGCACTTCTCTAGCAGAACATGTCATCGTCACTGAAGACGCAAAGCCAGTTAACCTACCACCTTACCGCACCTCCCCAGCGAAAAAGCAAATAATTGAAGAACAAGTGCAAAATATGTTGACAAACAACATCATTGAACCTGCATCAGGACCATGGGCAGCTCCTGTGGTCATTGTGAACAACCCCCCCCGTGAGCCACGGTTCTGTGTTGACTTCAGGGGTTTGAATCAGTTAACTGTGAAGGACTCTTACCCACTCCCACGAGTGGATGAATCAATGGACTTTTTATCAAGAGGGAAGTTTCTGACAACTCTGGACCTTGCCCGAGGGTACTGGCAGGTCCCCATTGCTGAAGAGGCTAAACCAAAAACTGCTTTCATCACACATTGTGGCCTGTTTCAATTCAAAGTCCTTCCGTTCGGCTTATGTAATGCCCCTGCAACTTTTCAACGACTTATGAATAATGTTCTGGCTGGC